CCGCCCGCCCCCCGGCCGCCACGGCGCACGCGCACTGCGCCCGCCGAACTGCGACGGCCGCGCCGCCCCGGCGCCCGGCGCCGCCGGACGCACTGCGCAGGCGCGAGTGGGAGGCGGGGCCTCGAGGGGAGGGCGGAGCCTGGCGCTGCTCACCTGGAGGGTGGGGCGCGCACCCGGGGCGACCAGGTGCTCGCCGGGAAACCGCGGGGCGGACTCCGGCTCCGACTCGGGCTCCCTCCGGAACGGAGCAGGGTCGGGAAGACGAACGGAGGGTCGCGGGCGCCGGCTTTTACTCTTGCACGGGAGGACGGCTTTCAGGAACTATCCTGCCTCTTTGTCCTGGGACGTACACATGCTGTCTCGGGGTCTGGCTAGCTGCATGGGGCTTGGTCACGTGAGCTTGCGCAGCGCAGGTGCGCCCTCGCCTCTGCGGAGCCTTTGGGCTGCAGGACGCGAGCCCTTCAAAAATATGGATGGGCTCCCCATGCCGCCTTCAAGACACACGGCCTTGCTGCACGCCGCACTGCGCAGAGGCCGGGGAGCTAGGCTCAGCTGCACGACCCAGGGCCTCCTGCGAACACCTGCTGAGAGCACCTGCTTGCTGCAGACACCCGGCCTGGCCTAGCTGCAGCCGCTGGCCTAGAACTCACCCCGGGCTCCCCGCGAGGCTGCAAGCCGGAAGGACCTTCCACGAGCGCACGTAAATCCGTGCGACTTCGTTTCCAGTTAAGACGCCTTTGGAGGATTTGCTTGGCTGTGTGCAAGGAGAAAGGAGAGAGGAAACGTCCAGAATGGTTTGATTTGAGGGAAAATGAGTGTGAGACCTGTAGGTTCCTCTGGGTCCGCATCCAGCCTGGCGCGCGCCTGTCTCCTTCCCTCCTCCTAGCCCAGTGTCATCATCCAGGCGGTCACCGACCTGGTTCCTCGAGTGCTGTAGCGCTGCCGCATTGTAATAAGCCTCCTGCCAGAATGTTGTCAGGTCGGATTACAAGACGTTATTGGAAAGCCTTTTGCGCACTCCAAACCTGCAGCGCGGTTCTTAGTTCACTGTGCTCTTTGGGGTTTCACTGGCACCTTTTTTTTTTTTTTTCCAAAATAAAATTGATATGTGCCTGCTCAAATTAAAGTGGTAGTCTCGAATGACATCCCTGGCAGGAGCGACGTAGTCACAGACCGACCGACAAGAGGGCTAATTTCAGTAGAGACACAGCCAGCCTCGAGAGCATTGTGAGATGATTAGCTTTTGTTGTGTTCACGTTTGATAGTGGAGGCTGACAGGAACAAGGAAGGGTGTGAATGGGAAGGAGGCTAGAGTGACAAGTCTGGAACACTTTCATTTTCTTGGTGAACCGTCTAGGTTTCACCTCAGTTCTCTGGAGGAACAAAACTTACAGAATGAATATATACATACGGGAAGGGAATTTATTAGAATAGCTTACAGGTTGTGGTCCAGTTAGTCCATCAATGGTTATCTACCAACAGAAAGTCCAAGAATTCAGGAGCTGTTTAGTCCACAAGGCTGGATGCCTCCGCTGGTCTTCGGTATACACTGGAATCCCAAAGAAGTGATGCCAGGGATGGAATAGACTTGCTGGTGAGGGTGAGAACAAGCAGGCAGAGAGCAAAAGCTTCCTTCTATGTCCTTTAAGTAAACCTCCAGCAGCTATGTCCCAGAGTAAGGTGGATCTTCCTACCTCAAAAGATCCGGATTAAAAGTGTGTCTTCTCCCCTCAAAAATCCAGATCAAATGATTTAAGTAAAAATTCCTCATGGATGTGCCCAGCCATTTTCATTCCTGATGTGAAGTTGATAACGAAGAATAGCCTTCACATCTGCCTAGCATTTATTGACATTTGGGACCTGGTTAATTGAGGGAAGAGAGTGTTGGTCTCACTGTCTAGTTGGCCTAGAACATGATAGGTAAGCCTAGGCAGCCCTTTACTTTAAGATCTTCCTGTGTAAGCTCCCCAGTGCCTGTCCAGATGACTGGCTTCTCAGTGCACCCACTCGTTGGTGTTAATAAAATGTTTGAAACGTTCCTTTGTGTCCTTATCAAGTTAGTCCTTATTATTGCACAGTTATTCAGCACAGACAAAAGTGTTCAAAATCCAGATTATGTGCCAAATATGTGAGTCACTCGACATTAGCTCTGTTGGTCTGGTGATTGAGTGTTGCCCAAAAGTTAGTTTGTTGGAAGTTTGGTCCCTCTTTTAGTGCTGTTAAGAAATGGGGTTTCAGTGAGGTTACTCCTGGGTCAAGGGTGCTTGCAGCCAAGCTTGACAGCCTGAGTTTGATCTGGGACCCACAGGGTGAAAAGAGAAAACCAACGTGAGGGTTGTCATCTGACCTCCACACATGCACTTTGCCACTCACACACAAATTTTAAAAAATATTTTATTAAAAAACTAATAAACTGTAGCTTTGCTTCTCCTGGCTCTTCTTAAAATTCTTTTTGCAGTGAAGTCAAGGGTCTGTCTGCCTTTACATTCCTGAGGGCAAGTGAATTCCTCTGGCTCCTGGCAGCAGTTCTGGGCTGTGTCACCTGCTGACAAAGGTTCTCACAGTTATGGGTTGACCTGTAGCAAAGCTGCTAGCTCTGCGACTGGCACCTGCAACTATAAAACTATAAGGTCAAGCCCCTCTCACCAGAGCATGTTGATAAGACAGTGGTCTCACAAGGACAGAGGCAGTTCTGTTGGGCCTACATAGGTACTAGAGACAGGATTCTTAGAGCCACAATCAGTACACTCTCGTTAAACGATGCTTGGCCTGCGCTCACCTCTATATTAAGGAAAAATAAAGTTTGACCTAAAGCAGCCTCCAAAATGCACCCTAGCATAATGTGTGGACAAGGTGTAACACGACATGAATGTGCTCCTGTTTCCAAGTGAATCTCAGCCACTCCCCAGCTTAGCTTCAGAGGATTGCAGACTGAGCACACCAAGCTCTAGGAGGCAACTGTGGACTCTGAGTCACTAAAGGTATTTTCGGTATGACAGTTCCTTTCCTCTAGCCACAGGCATAAGCTGGATACATGGTAGGGCCAAGCATGCTAAACCAACTTTGGTTCAGAATGGTGCTTTGGTTCTAGACCACCTGCCCTGCTCATAGACTGCTTGCTTGATTCTCTGACATAAAATCTCGTGGTCTAAGCGGTGCCTCTGACTCACTGTAACCAAGGAGGACTTTGAACTTCTAATGTAACTGCTTGTGCCCACAGAGTGTTGGGATTATAGGCGAACAACACCAGATCCAGTTCCACACCACTGTTGGGGGTGGACCCCAGGACTCCATGAATGCTAAGTAATCTCTCTGTCAACTGAGATTTTAAACTGAAAAACTCAGCTTTTCTCCAACACTCCTTACTCGTGGCATGGAGTCTACGGGGATAATTTCGTCTCAGGCCTATATTAGCCTGTATTAGTGATTTGAAAGGTCAAAAGGTCACAGGAGAACAGGCAGGATCAGACAAAATTGAGCTTAGCCAAGGACCTCTAGCAGGATCCTCTCTCGGTGCCTGTCACACTTGATGTCATATAGGAGGCTGAAAGAGGTTAGGTTAGGCCTTGTGACAGCTGAAGTTATGCTTTAAGTTTAAATTACCATGCTTAGGAGATTTATAAAACAAAAACGCCTCTCTAAACTGTAAGCCCCACTTGGTCAAGGACAGGTAACTTCCTGGAGTTCTGGGTACTGCTGTTCATGATGTAAGATGACAAGCCCCGTGTTTTCACTTCTGTAAAGAAGCTTGGTTGCCCCATCTCCCCGGTATGTGCTTGATCACACGTGGATGGAAGGTGTGCAGGCAGGAGTACCTCCGGGTGTACGCTTGCCTCTGATTGGACGAAGGTGGGAAGTACATGGCCTTGTGGATTTTGCCTTTATAAGCCTCTAACTACGGTAATTCAGTGCCTTCTCTGGGAATCTTGGGTGTGGACCTGGCCAGTGTCCATCATCCTGGCTATTGTGTAATAAAGCTTGCCTCAAATTTGGCTCAAAAGTTATGGTAGCAGTCTTACTGTCACCTGGTGGGATTAACAGCCGTTGTTCCCCGGTCTCCCAGTCTCCCAGGTCTTTTCCTGTAAGCACCCTGTTTCTGTCCTCCTCGGTGTCTCCACTGTCCAGATCAAAGCTTTGCCAACAGAAGGGGTTCACCCCAGATTTCCCCCAAAAGATGTCTTACTTTCCTTTTGCTGTGATAAATCACCCTAACAAAAGCAGTTTAAGAAAAGAAGGCTTTATTGTGGTTCCCAGTTGGTGGTGCAGGTGGGAAAGTCAGAGTAGAAGGAACTCGAAGCTTCCAGTCACATCAGGAACAAAGAACCATGCATCTGTGATGTGTTCACCATCGCTTCTCTGTGGAGAAAGTCTAAGACCCAGCTAAGAAAGGACAGCACCCACAGAGGGCAAGTCTTCCCTGTCACTAACATAATACCCTTGTGGGCATGTGCACAGTCCCAACCCTCCAAAGACTCTATAGAGTTCGTCCACTGACAGTTAACATTAACCAGCCCTGTGTGTTTTGAATGTCACTGAGAACAGGATGCACACGAGCCAAAAGCCCCTTTTCAAGTAGGCTGGCTGAAACTAGT